AAAATAGTGTTGCATTTGGAGTATTTATGTAACACTTTCGTGTAATGTTGCCTAATACGAATAAAAGTGTTGCATATGACTTTATGCAACGAGACCTGAAGTAACGCCCTTAAAAGTGTTACATTAGTCTTTTGCAACACATTAATGATCTAATGTAACATTTTGGAACCGTTGCCAAAGGCTTGTTTTGTTGTAGTGAAAATCTAGCAAAAATCGTTTACCAGGTAGAAAGGTGTCAGTTCAAAGACTCTCAAGTTTATCCCACAATTCCTTTGCAGAGTCCATTATACCTACCTTTCTAAGAACTGAGTCAGAAAGGTTTAGATAAATAGTTGAACATGTTTCATTCATTTCAACCTGTTTACCAGAGTCCTCGATTTCAAAATATTTTCCAGTTACTGCTCTGAAAACTTTCTGTCGAATTAAAACACATTTTATTTTCTGTTTCCAAATGTCAAAATCAGATTTACCATTAAAAGAAAGCATTCCATATTGGTTTGCAGACATGATGATAAACACTGAGGTACACAGAAAAGCACAAACAACAGAGAAACTGAGCACAGAAAAAAAAACAAGTAGATCAGATTCAAGTAATCAAGAATCAACTAGTATTGGCAGCGGACTGACATGCCACGTAGATCCGAAGGCCACTGAAGTGGCTGGCAGGGAACCTGTCAGCCCTAACCTCAGGTAGCAGGGGTATTAGTGATGCACAAGTTACAAGAATCTCAAAGATCAGACTCAGTCAGAGGCAAGTAGCAGATTAAGAACACAGTTAAGATCACAATGACACTCAGAAGGAGAGAGATCTCAACATGCAACACATTAGGCCACACAAACAGAGCCACTAAGAGGAAGGAATCAAGGAATCGTATCTGGATCCAGTCAGAATATACTGAAAACTAGACCGCCCGGTGTAGCAAAGCATAGAATAGACGGGATAACAAAAAAAACAGAAAGCACACAATATCACCAGAGGCACCCGGCATCCTAGGGTGTTTATCGCCGCTTTACTTGAGCGAGATCCTAGGGGGGTATCTCGACTTACCAACTTGCTGAAGAGCAGAAACGTCACGGTGGAGATCTGAAGCGTCACGGCGGCGGCAGATGAGGTGTCGACACGAAGATCCGGCTTTCATACCATTATTGGGTGTTCACTTCTCTGGCTCAGACCACACTCAAACGATCACACAAAGCACCACCTTTAACACCAATGGAAGGTAACACGCTTAGCCAACCTTAACCTTCTCTACGCACACCGGACAAGGAGAGCAGAATAAAGGAAGAGTTCACACAGAGGGACGGTGAGAAGAGGGTATCAGAAAACCCTAGCTCTTTCTCTCTTACTCTTCTCTCAATCTCTCTCTAAGTCCAACACAACGCATCAAAGTCTCAACCCGATAAGACCCACAAAAGAGGCCTTATATACTGGGGTATAAGGATAAGCCCTAGTAGATGGTTCCAGAGACGGACATGCCATGTAGAGTAGCTGGGCTGGCTAAAGCGATTGGGCCAACATGAGTTGGGCCGAAAAAAGAGGGAGATGGTCTGCTTTAGCCCATAGGCCAATACCTCCACACTTATGACAAGTCAAACAAAGTCGTTAAAACAAAATCATAATAAGGGTGATGCTAAAATGACTTCAAAATACGTAGGTGTGTGATGGACAAATACTTTATTATTCCACAATGCACACAAAAGTTGATAGTTAATACTCCCTCCGTCCCTTAAAGATTTGTCATATTTGACCGACACGTAGAATAATAAAATAAAAATTATGTGGTAGATATTTGTGCAGAGGAGAGAGAAATAACACCAGCCACAAATTGATTGATTAAAAGGGAAAGTGACAAAGTTTATAGAACAACCAAAAAAGGAAATTGGCAAAAGTTATAAGGGACGGAGGTAGTATTCAACAATGCTTAAGAATTCAATAACAGGTCCAACATCCTATATTTGATAAGGACTTATATTGATCCATAAAAAATCAAGGCAAGGTGATTTTGTTCCAAAAAAAAACATGCATTGATTTTTGAATGGGTTCAAAATTTAAAAACCAGACATCTGCTTACAACGAGAAGTCGTAGGAGCATTCCTTCTTTGAAACAACTGGTAGCCATCGGAGGTTGTCTTTCTCTGACCGTCCTCCTGGATTGAAATACTAATAACGTTTACAGCGAAAAGGAGGGCTCAATTGGATGATAGAAACGAGATTTAGATCCTCTGCGGTACGACAGAGTGCCATGCGACAACGGACGATAAGATAACAATGAAGACGAGCATTGAGATAAGTGAAAAGGTAGACCACAAGATCTCCGACCGTTGAATTATCGATCAGACAGTTCCCCTTCGTCGGGCGCCCTACCTTCCTACTGAAGGAAAGCACATACACCGAATCCATAGAAATGAAGGAGAAAAGCATACGGAGTATATTTTCATTAATTATTGGATAAATCTCTTTTGTCGGTATCACACAACTCTCCTTACAAAACAAAACCAAATTAATCTATGTACAGACAAAAACACAACGCGTGTACAAGCCAGTGCGTACACACAACAATTTTCAAATTTCTAAGGGGAGGACAAGTCATGAATAAAAAACGTTATTGACTATTGACTTAATTTAATTACTACGCAGTTAAATATGTATAGTAATATTTGTGTTCATTGGTTTTAATATTTAAACTATTAATAATACACATGGAATTTTTCCGTTTTAACTCTATTTACATATAAAGTTTTCTTTATTTTATTATAAAATTTATCACAATTATATAGATTTGAGATAATTCCCAATGTAAGAGTAAAACATGATTAAAGGGAAAATAGGTCTATAGGAGTAGGCAAAATAGGAGTACAAATTTAATGTTTACTCCTATTTAGGAAAGATTAGAGGAAGACTCATATTTAGAGAAAAGTTGTACTAAGTACGTTTTACATAGAATTGCTCCTATTAACGACAATAACTTAACAAACTTTTAATTGTATATTTAGAGAGATAAAAATGCTACTTGTACATGTCCGCCTACATGTCTGTTTACACTTCAAGTGTATTTTATCGAGTGCGTATAACGTGCAACCGGTATACGGTGAGCACCGTATACCGGGACGGTTTTTCTTTTTTTTTTTCTTTTGTTTTGAAAAAATGGTAATAACTTTTTTATTTGTTATCTGATTTTTATAAAATTTATATCAACATTTTTTATTTTTCATGATCTTTCAAATAAGACCAATATTGCCTATGTAATTTTAACATATTAACATTTGTGTGTAAAATATGTAACTTTAAGTGTTAAAATATGTAACTTTTCAGTCAAGTCAAATGCAACTCGTGTGTATAAATATGTATCTCTACGTGTAACAATATGTAACTTTACGTAAAAAAATATGTAACTCGCATTCAGACAGGTCACATGCAACTCGTGTGTATAAATATGTAACTCGCGTGTATAAATATGTAACTTTACGTGTAAAAATATGTAACTTTACGTGTAAATACATGTAAGTCGCGTTCAAGCATGTCAAATGCAACTCGTGTTTATATATATGTAACTCGTTTTTAAAAAGATGTAACTTGCTTATAAAAAGATGTAACTTGCTTATAAAAAGATGTAACTTGCTTATAAAAAGATGTATCTCGCTCATAAAAAGATGTAACTCAATGTATTATCAAATGTAAATGAGGCCACTGATTCACTACCAAACAGATTCGATCTTCTATTTCACAAACCTATCATCTCCCAAACAGATTCGATTTTTCTTATAATCCAATACTCATTAATATAATAGTTCAATAATTTCTTAAAATTACATACACAATATTGGTCTCATTTGAAAGATCATGAAAAATAAAAAATGTTGATATAAATTTTATAAAAATCGGATCAAAAATAAAAAAGTTATTATCATTTTGAGTTAATTATCAAAATAGGACTAAAAGTCATTCACTTTTCACAAATAGGACAAAAAAGTAAACTATGTTTGCATAAGACTAATTATGTGTACCTTGAACAATTATACCCTTATAGCTATTAAAATGTTTTAATTCCTAATAAAATAATAAAATAATAAAAAAAATAATAAAAATTCGTAAAAAATACTAAAAAATTAAGAAAAACATTTCGATTTTAAAAATTTAATAAATTTTTTTTTCAAAAAACTAAAAAAATTAAAAAAAAATTAAAAAAAATAAAAACTCAAAAAAAAAATCGCCGCCGCCTCTGCCGCCTCAGCACCACCACCTCCAGTCACCAGGGGAAAAAAATGCCAAGTTCATTACGAATGCCATATTTATGGCAGAAAAAATGAAAATGTTGGCATTCGAAAAGAGAAATATGCCACTTTTTTGGCATTTTCAGAAAAAAATGGCATTTTTCTGGGAAAATGGCATTTTTTCATCGGCCGGAGGTGGTGGTGCTGGGAGGTAGTACAGGCGGTGGGAAAGGCATCCATATTTTTTTAAATTTTTTTTACGGAGTTTTACTATTTTTCATTAATTTTTTTTAAAATAAAATTATTTAAAAAAAAAAGTTTTTGAATTTTTTATTTTATAAAAATTTTATAAATTTTTTAATTTTATTTCTACGAATTTTTGAATTTTTTTCGAATTTATTATGAATTAAACATTTAATTATGGCTTTTGACTATTTTTAATTCATATTTAATGGAAGGGTAAGAATGGAATGCAAAAATAGGTATGTTTCCAATAGGACTCATATGGTCCTATTTTGGAATAAAAACATAACAAATCCTATTTTAGTTTTTTGCCATAGTTTTAGTTCTATTTGAACTAATTTCTATATCATTTTTAACAACAAAAGCAAAAAGAAAAAAAAAATCTGATCATACGTCGTTTTGCAACCGGACGCACCATCCTCATGGTGCGCCGGTTGCACCATATAATTTGCGTATTTTATCCGCACACAGAATTGATTTTTATTTAAGTGAAGAAATTATATACCGAGTATGATTGAATTGTTTGCACAGACAATTCAAAGTTACACCAGTATCAGCCGATGTGTACGAGCGGCATTTTTGCTATGCTCTTAATTTTGGACATTTTGGTACTCTTTTCCACTTAAAACCCGCTTACGGCTTAGCAATGGAAAACTTGGGAAGCACTTCCGGTTTCCATATTTTCACTCAGAAAGCTTAAAAATTCACTGAAGCTGTTCTTCAATCTGTATCCAGTTTATGAGAAATGTCAACAATTTTCCCACCAAACTCTTTCTATAACCAGAATCCGTCAGAGCAAATCAAGACAGACTTTGCCCTTATTCAAACGAAAACATTGAATCGTATATAGAATAAAAATAGGCTCAGTGCTCAAACGAATCTCTTTTTCTTCTGCCTAGAACACCCACAATAACGATTCAAAAGAATTATCATACCCAGATGTCTCGCCTTTGAGCACCAAAAACGATTCTCCCATGTTGGGACGGGTGCAAATGGAGGAGGGAAATGGGGAAGGTGAAGATCCGCCGATTTCGGAATCGGGGCAATCGAATTGGTGGGCAAGTTTCTACAGAGACATATTGGCGGGGGCTGTGATGGGAGGTGTGGTGCACACAATCGTGGCCCCCATAGAGAGGGCAAAGCTTCTATTGCAGACACAGGAAAGTAACATGGCAATCTTGACGGGGGGAACTCATAAAAAGTTTAAGGGTATGTTGGATTGTATAGTGAGGATTGTTAGGGAAGAAGGGTTTCTCTCTTTGTGGAGAGGGAACGGAAGCAGCGTTATCAGATACTATCCTTCTGTGGCTCTCAATTTCTCCCTAAAGGTACCTTCCCTGGCTTACACCCCCATTCCTTAACTTATGTTTCTTTTAACTTTTTGTGTTCTTACGAAATTGTGGTTTTTTGTTTATAAAGCATATCAGGAAGTTCTTTATATGCAGTTTAATTGGTGTTGGTAAACAGATGTCAAGTGGTTAATGCTAACCAAAAGCTACTCTTGGTTGGAAGTGAGCAATTAGCTCATATTCCTCGATAAGCATAGATTTATAAATACAAGCTCATCAGACAAGATTCCTGATTTAGGCGGTAGTTAAGGAGGGTGTGTCCGGATCTTGGGTGTGATTGGGAAAACGGGAAGATTTAATTAAGGAAATTATTTTCTTTGAAAATGACAAAAGGAAAAATAATAATTTATTGACTTCGAAGCCATCTTTTTATTTCATGCCAGATTTTCTTTGCCTTTCTGTTCACTTGCCTATTATTCCCATGGTATTTTCCTATTTCAAAAAGCGTTGGTGTGATTCTTATTCAGCTGGAACGTTGCAGCCACAATGATGCATAGGAACTCCAGGTAGGTAGGAGTTTTCATGTTTTACAAACGTTTAAGAAACTCCATGGAAAACCTGTGACAAACTAGTAACTATTTTCCGGTGTCATGTTTCCTATTTTCAGTGCCTCCCTCATTGGACATTGCTTATTTAATGATCAATGTATCACAATATTACTTTGCAGTTCAATCCTAAACTAAATGGCTTGGTGAGTTGGGAGGTTTAGATCGCTTAGTTAGACTGGGGTTGGTAACCGCTAAGTTTATATACCTCTTGGCTGATTATGAAGAGGTCAATACCATCTTTAGTTTTGTGCTGAAACCCCATTGCAATTGAAAATCAACTGGCTAGACAGACAAAAGGATTACTAATAATAAAAATGATAATAACAAATGCAATTCTAATAATGCTCCATTGTCTCCAAATATTTTTCTTATTATTGTCAATTTGTTATTATTTTCCTTTAATTCTTAAGGAGTATTATAAACACCAAAAATCTCTACACATTCAATCAGCTCTTAATTTTATCTCATTAATAGTTAGTCTTACAGTCAGGTTTGGAAGCAGGTAAACAGTTTGTGTCTACCCATGTCTCATTCATTCCCCCTTGTTGATAGCTTAACATGATGTTTCCTGATGTCACTTAATATGAAAGTGGTTCTTAGGATTGAAAGTGGCATTACTTCTTAGTCGCTGTTTTTTTTCTTTTCGCTAGTTATTTTCATAGGGAATTGGATTAAAATGTCTTTGTACACAAATGCTGCAGCACTCTCTAAGTTCCTCTGGTGAAAATATCTTCATCAACTTCATCTTGAGATAATAGTTCAACAGTATTTAAACTGAGGATTTGGTTGCAAACTTACAATATGGAAGGAATTGTGTAATGATCTTCTGCATGAAACAAAGAAGTTGTTTTCTCGTAACGGGTCAATTGGTTTTGGCTCGAGCAAAAGCAATGTGCTTTCTATATTCAGGCATGAAGATTGAAGGCTGTAAGACATTCCATAGAAGTATAAAGAGTCCCACATCAGATGCAATAGAAAAGTTTCAGTCAAATCAACTCCATTAGTTTATCTGATGATAATTACTTTGTTATTTCTTTCTTTCTGAGTTTGGAATATGCTGCTCATCATAGGGGTAGAATATTGTAGAATACAAGAGTTAGCCTTGTTGTGTAAGTTCTGCCACAAGGAAAGTTTGTGCGTGTATTTCTTTCTTCTTGTGGTGTATTCTGAAAGCGCAGAATGCAGCATTTTGGACTTTCTCACTTATGCTCTAATATATTGTGGAACTGTAATTTTCCATACTCATCTTTGACTTGAACTTTCTCTAATTCTCTAGATGCTTATTACCACGGAAGTTTGAATTTTCCTGGCTACCAAAGTAGTTTGTCACTATTGTATCATACTATCATGTGATTATGACACTGACTTGTGTCCGCTATCTTAATAATCACGTGTGATTTCGAAATTTGATTATCGACAGCCAGAAGCTTATATTTTGCAGGACCTCTATAGGAATATCCTGCACAACAACTACGACAAGGGACACTTCTTGGCAGGCCCATCTGCCAATTTCATCGCGGGGGCCGCGGCCGGATGTACGACGCTAGTAATCATCTACCCCCTTGATATTGCGCACACACGTCTTGCCGCTGACCTTGGGAGAACTGACATGCGCCAATTCCGAGGCATCTCCCACTTCTTAAGAACGATCCATGATAAAGACGGGATTCGCGGGGTCTACCGTGGCCTCCCTGCCTCTCTGCATGGGATGATCGTCCACCGTGGCCTCTACTTTGGTGGTTTTGACACCTTAAAAGATATGATGATGATTTCATCATCCAAACCAGAAGTGGCATTGTGGAAACGCTGGGTGGCGGCTCAGGGGGTCACGACATTAGCTGGGCTGTTGTCGTATCCGCTCGATACAGTCCGGAGACGAATGATGATGCAGTCCGGATCGGGGGCACCGCCCATGTACCGGAACACATTGGATTGTTGGAAGAAGATTTACAAGATGGAGGGGCCCGCGTCTTTCTATCGTGGAGCTCTTTCGAATGTATTCAGGAGTGTTGGGGCGGCTGCCGTGCTGGTTTTGTATGATGAGGTTAAGAAGTTCATGGATTGGACCGGTTTGTAGCAAAATATGTAATACGCAGTAGTTAACATATGAACTCAGTGATTTTGAAAGGACACTTTTTTTTTTGTTTCTTAGTTTAAGTTTTCAAAAAACATTTGTCATTCCCCAATCACTATTAATTTCATTGCTCTTATTAAAGGGCGGCCGGGCATAAAAAATTTGGAAATAAAGAGGATTGCTGTTTTTATCATTCCCCAAAAATGATATTTAACATAGGGGTGGACTCGGGCCGGGCCAACCGGCCCGGAACCGGACCGGCCCGCTACTGTGCGGGCCCGGCCCGTACCGTTGAACCGGTTCCGGGCCCGGTTCGGGCCAACCGGCCCGGTGGGATGGCGGTTCGGGCTCGGGCCCTTCAAAAGGTGAACCGGCTCGGCCGGTTCAGGCCCGGGTCGGGCCATTTTTTTTGTTTTTTGAATTTTTTTAAGTTTTTGGGTTGGGCTTGGCATTTTGGGTCATTTGAGGTGGTTAGGGTTGGTTTGGGGGTGTGGGGGAGGGTTGGGGGTTAACTAGGAAAAGCCAAAAAAAAAATAGAATCGAGGCCCGGCCCGGACCCGGGGGTTACCCGGGCTGGTTCCGGGCCTCCCCTTCTTGAACCGAGGCTCGGCCGGGCCCAGGCCCGAACCGGGCCCGAACCGGAACCGGTCCACCCCTAATTTAACACGCTCAGCTGCTAGCAGAAAATAACGTTTTGCTTTTGTTTCTGTATCCCGATTTACCAATCCAAACAACCAGCAACATTGTTTGGAATTTGGATCACGGAACATTGTAAGTCTATTTTACATTTGGTAGCCTAACACTTAAATTGGTTGAATTGAGTGATTCTATTTAAATTTATGAAAATATTGTATTTAAAATATATTTTATTGATGAAACAGAATAAATAAATTATAAGAAAAAATATCTTAAATGGTCTTGATAGAGTATAGATCTAGAGAGAAGTGAGAACTAGAGAGAGAAAGTGCTAATAATTAATATTTCTCCCGCCCCTAAAATTACTCCCTATGAGAGTATTTAATATTTATAGGGAAAATGTGGGTTGAGCTCTCAGGACTTAGGCCTATGAAGCTCAGTACAAAATAAGGCCTCTAATGGACTGATTACCTGATTTTCAGAGCTAAGTATAAAATTCAGTCTGCTAGAGTCAAGTTTGGTCAAAGAGGGGCTAGGCTGAGGGAGGGCCTGGCTGATGGGGAACTAGTCTTCTGCTTTTGGGCTTTTGTGTTGCTTTCGATGAGTCGATGGGTTTGGTCGATGGAGGGTCATATGGGTGCTAGCTGTCCTTGCATTAGTCTTATGAGTATGTGAGACATAGGGTCTGGGCTCATATACTCTATCAGGAGTCCCCCACTCCCTGAGTTGAGGCGTGGCAAAGTGAAAGGGAGTAGAATATTCCTTTGGTTTTGTTCTGGCTTATCTGTTCTTCAGCCGATGCAAGGCATGTCTTGTGGCCCACGTGATGTTTTCTTTTTTGATTGGCCGTGGTGTGAAACTCTGATCCTGTGGATGACGGATGTCACAGCTTTGAGGCCGATGTGTGTCCCTTGCTTTTGTTTTTCTATTCGGCCGATGTTTTGAGGTTTTCCCAATTTGGAGGCTGATGTAGTCCCTCAGTCACCTACTCCTTCAGGCTGAGGCTATGCGCTGGGTGTGAAGGAGTAAGGAAGTGTCCTAGGCCATGGCGGAACCCTCGAATTCCCCATGAATCCAACCTCGTGGCAATCCCTGGCCAAGGCAACCCTGTGGGAGAATCCTTGGACGAAGGTCTCAGGCTAGAGGTTATCATCAATGGGACGGGTCTTGTACGAGGGGCCATGTCTTAGGATTTTACCTTGCCTGTGAGGTGGGCATTGAGTGCTCCCATGTTGTGGTCCCTTTGGCCAGCGTAGGTGTAACACACCCAAATTCCCCACCCAAACTAATACATTAAGTGCTAGTTTTTTTTAAAAAGAAGTATCAAACTTTATTCGAAAATCATCAGAGTTGGTTCAGCGGAATAACATGATTTGGAATTTGAGTGTGTTACCGCCACACTTAGCACTCCCACTGCTAAGTGCACAGACTAACTTCACAACAATAAAATGTGCTTGACCAAAAATACAATACACAAAGTAAATATGTCTCAACAAGTCTTATCACTATTGTTCTTCATTAGTCGGCGCTCTCAACATACTTTAGACTGAAAACAAAGAAGAGAAAAGAAACAAAAGAAACAAAAATTAGCCGGAAATGCTAGTAAATCCCACCCAACACCGTAAAATAATATAATTTGGTATATAGATAATTTTGTAAAACTTTTTGGAGAAAACATTTCAAAGCATTATATATCAATCATAAGTAAAACAGTATTCACAAAAACTTCTAAATCACGCAATTCACAAGTAAAATAATAATATTTCAAATATAGATACATATTTCCAAATCCTAATAATTTCCGATATGCCAAACATACATAAAGCACCAAAAATCTTCACGAATACTCTAAAATATAGATCATATGCAAAATTCCAAATACTTGTAACCAATATCCAGACATATATTTTCCAAACCAATATCCAAAAATATTTACATGTAACTCTTTCCAAAATATCCTTTCTCAAATAATTAGCCTTTAAAATAACTTTGAATTTCATTCCCTCAAATCGTATTTCTCCAACCAGTACTTTAACTTCTTATGAGTAAGTAGTTAAGTACTAATATTCTCTTCTCTTACTTTTCTCAAAATCTCATTTGTGACTAAACTCCCTAGTAAGAATCGAAGGGCGGTGCTCAATATTTTATTGAGCCTGGTGGTCCGTTGTTATGTACGGCCACCCCAGGACTTTTGTCGGTACCACAACTCCAATGGAAACTGAACTTCTACCTTAAGTGTGCACACCCCCTAGGAGGGATTCCGGGCCCTCCGAGTAGTAAGAAGCTCAAGTAGTTAGGACGTCAACGTCCCCCTACTACACCAAAAAGGGATTACCCTATACAAGTGACTATGTTACTGCTACTACCAAAATAAAAAGGGCCTTTTGCCCATCATAAAACTATTAAATTACCCGGATTGGTTACCGGTCCAATATAATTACCCGTAATGGTTACCGGTCCAATATAATTACCCGGAATGGTTACCGGTCCAATATAATTACCCGGAATGGTTACTGGTCCTCTCCCAAGTAGTAGCAGTCCTAACCACCCTCCACATTTATCTAGATGTGGAAAACCGACATCGCGGATTTCTCCCGCGATGCTACACATTATGAAAGGTTCTTGTTTGAAGAGTCAACTTCGATTAAAGTGTACACATTTTATTATTTTATGTATTTAATAATGTTGAGTATCAATAATGTCATCTTTAGTATTCATTTTTCTTTTCAGATAGATTACATCTAGTTCACTTTTATTTCATTTTATTTTATTTTTATATTTCTATTTTATTTTTTCTCTTTTTTTAGGGTGTCACAGTAGGTGCAGCTGGTTTGATAATGGCGTGGCTGGTGTTTGATTGGTCATGTTGGAGGGGACCATTGGTGTGGCCACTAGGAGAGTGCCACATGTAGTGACCGTTGGGGGGTTGCTATAAGTACCCCCTTCCGAAGTATTCCCCTCACTTTGCTTTCGAGAAGTAACGAAGTGCTGCCGGTTTTTCTAGAGAGATAGAATGTTCTTCAATTTCTTCAAGTGTTCAAGGGCAGTTCTTCGCTTGTTCTTTGTTTTTTTATACTTTGCTTCTCTAGGGTTAGATCTAGTGTTTATAGGAAAAGTTCACCTAGATCCGGAAAATCGTCCTTAAGACTTGTGTGTAGTCACGCCATTCCCTGATGGTCGATGTGTTCCCAATCCTATTGACTTAACAGCTTCCTTAGACGAAGAATATTACCCCTTTGACGAGGTTGACACGTCCCCAAGGATCGCTCTCAAGATGGTAGAGGAGTTTGACGTTGAGATGGATAATACCAGCAAGTATTGGACCGAGAACGATGAAGAGAGGTCGTAGGCCGATGGCAACTCATCATCCTCACACGAAACTAAAGGCAACTTTGCAAGTCCTCGTGAGGATGGTGTTTCTACTTCGGTGACGGTCCCCAGCCCTCCTCCCATATCGGTCGTCCGTGGTGATAGTTCATCGGCGGTTAAGAAGAGAGAACGACGGCCTCGTCCGCTGCAAGGTTTGGTCGTGGGTTTGTCAAAGCTGAATCTCAACAATCTGTACATCATCCTATCGGAGAGTTAAGTGAGTGAGTAGTGCATTGGACATATGTACGTCGGCCCATACGGAAGGGTTAGGGCGCCCAATACGAAGGACCACATTCTCTCACCGCCCCTGGGGTACTTTGACGCATATCCCATGAGTTTTGTGAAGGGGTTACGTTTTCCTCTTCATCCCTTCATTCTTGAGTACCTCAATGAAGTGGGTCTTCCACCAGCCTTGATGACACCGAACATTACTCATTGATCGTTGGTTTCTTTATCCGGTGCGACGAGTTGAAGATTAGGCCAACGACGGCCCTTTTTATGAAACTTTATCAGATTGGCCGAGGGAGCCATAAGAACTGTGTCGGCTTTGCCAACCTTCAGCAATTGAGGGGAAGAAGATCGTTTATGGATGTGTCGGCTTCCATTCATGGATAGAAAGCCAAGTTTGTCTTTAGGACCCTCGACGATGCCGCATTCTTTCCGTCTGTTAATCATTCGGGAATTTTTAACCTCCATTCTCCTGTAACGAATGCGATGATCGAAGACCAGGTTGAGCAGATTCTTAAGCATGGGTGACAAGTTCGTATTACAACACACATTTGATGCGTGTTGGGATCAGCTTTTGATGCTTTTCCTAGCTTTAAGGTGTTTTAAGTCTCAATTTTAGCTCAAGTTGTGTTTACCAGGCGTTGGTTCAAGTATTGTGTTGTTTGGAGTCAAAATCAGGAAATTAGAGTCCGGAACCAGCGCTTGAGAAGCAATCGGAACGAGTTGAGAAGAATTCAAGAAAGTTTTGAGAGGTTTGGAGGTCACCCGAAGGTTCACGATAAAGATTTGAAGATAAAAGAGCTCTAGAATTGGCTACGGGATCAAAAGAGCTTGAAAACGGCGATCAGGATGACGTTTTGTCAATCATTGAAGCATATTCTTTTTTTAAAACATCCAAAGGACACAATTCAAGTTCCATATGAAATCCAACATCAAGGGCTACAAATTATATGAAGACATCATTGC